CATGGTGAAGGTCTCAGCCTGGAGGTGGGATCCTGCGGGCACCACAGCTGCCGTCAGCCATGTCCGCCCCTTCCGAGAGGGGACAAAACAACACCTAGTCCCTAGCCGGGAGGGAGTTTTGGGGCAAAGGAGGCCCCTTTTTGTCCTCAAACGCTCACCTGTGGGTTTGCCAGCACTGGAGCCTGTTTCCTCTCCTGTTTCCCCAGGTTTTTCATCCAGCAGTTTCTAAAAAGTTGATGGAAGTGCCGCTGAGCCAGGCCCAAGGAATGAAAATGCCTTTTTTGGGGGTATTTCTCCCAAAGATTTCCCCCTCCCTTAGGCAGAAACCCGACTCACCTCCGGTTCCTGGAACTTCTTGGGCATTTTCAGCTGGTCCCCGAGTGGCCCCTGGATACGGGCAGGGCTCTGTGGCCGGGGCCGTGCCCGTGAGGGGAAGGCCACCGCCAGCCTGCAGGACAAGAGAAGGTGTTGGGAGTGGGACAGACTGGGATCCCCACTAGACGGACGGACAGACGTGGCACCTGGCGCCCACCTGCTGTTCTTCTGGCACCGCGAGAGGAACCGGGCTGAAATACTCAAGCGTGGGTTCAAGAACAAGTTTTTTTCCTCATTCCCAGGTTCAGGCGGTTTCAAATCCTTTAAGGAGCCATCGAACTTCTCTGCGGCCACAAGGTGGGAAGCGTTAGCTCAGCCATTGCTGGGATCTGCCCAGATCGGCTGTGCCGAACACGCAGGCACTGTCCGCTCATGGTTTTTCTCATTACCTTCAGCGTCAGCATCTGCCAGCGTCTCAAAGTGCTGCTTGAGGTACTTCTCCTGCTCAGGGGTCTGGGGAAGGGAGCTGCTCTGCGGTGCGTTCTCATCTGGCTCCTCCACCTCCCTAGCGGAGCCCAGCGAGTCCTTGTCTGCTGGGACAGAGCCAGGAAGGAAAGCCCACCACAACAGACGTTAGCACCGGGCAGTTTTTATCCTAAGCCCTCCCTGCCAAGAGCTAAAGCCACCTTCAAGCTTTTTGCTCAGTCACCAGGGTTTAGCGCTGGCAAAGCTGGTGCTCACAGCACTTTCCCGGAGCCCTGGCCACTCTCCCGGTGTTACCTTCCGGCTGGTAGCAAGGCACTGGCGTTCCCAGGCAGAGCGAAATGGGGGACAAGGCGTTGTCCCGGCTGATTCTGAGCTCCTCCAGGTACACGGGGTGCAGCGGCAGCTCCATCACGCGTTGCCTTGAGGGAAGGTGAGTAGGTTGGCGATGGCCGAGCACCGGATGCCACAGCCGGGCCTGCACTTGCCATTGCTCCAAGCTGGGATGTGCACTGGTATTTGAGTGCTCAGCTGGGACCAGGTTAAGTTCCCCCCCAAATTTCCCTCCTCTGGCCCCAACAGGGCTTTAGGGGCTGGACAGGAGGTTTGGTGTGAGCAGAGGAGCCCAGTCCTGCCCCGCGGTGCTGGGCTGGTGCCTTCTGGCATTGCCAAAATGCTCTGAAATTTGGCGTGAAGGGAAAAGCCACGATGGGGAAGAGGGCATGATGGGGATGAGGGTGTGATGGAGTTCAGTGTGAGCCAGGACTCAGCACGGTGACATTAAGCAAAGCCCAAACTAGCAGGGAGGTGTTGGCTTAACACCGATAGTGAAACACGGCACCTGCTTCCCCGCCGGGCTATCGGCTTTGGCTGGCACTGACCTGCTTGTCTCCAGCACGCACAGCTCCTCCCGGCTGGTCCTGGTCGTATCCGGCGATTCCAGTCCCCGTTCAGTTTCCTCATCCAGAAAAAGCTCGGAGAGCTGGAAGTCCTCGGTGAGGTTGCTAGGAGAGCTCTCTGCCTGCTGGAGACAGGGAGCTGATGTCCATAGCTGGATTTTTCCTCAAAAGACGGTGGCTGAAGGGCAGGGGCTCTCCAGGGACAGTTAAAAACCAGAGTCCAGCAAGGGTTGATGGAGGGCATAGGGTCTGGCCCCATGACTGACCTCTGAAATCAGGTGCTCCAGACTGCCAGGCTCAAGCTCCGTGTCACCCTTGAGGTGGGGTTTGAGGGGGGTGAAGTAGGGGGGGTCTGCCTCCGACAGGGTCCTGATGGGGTCCCTCTCCGCGCAATCTGCCCATCGCCCGCGCGGCTGGTAGCTCCCCCCGGGGCTGGCAGCCACGCTGTCCCTGTCCTCTGCCTCTCCTAGCTGGAAAGGGGAGAAAGAAGAGACAGGATCCAGTGGAGATGGAGCAAAGGGATCTTCATCTGGCCCCATAAAACTAAATTAAATTGCATCTCTGGGTGCGGCCACATGACTTACCAGCCTCTTTGCCCATATGGGGAACTTGCTGTTCGTTAGGATACACACCGGAGCTGGAGGAGGAGAGCAGGGTTAGGAAGGGCACCGTGTGCCACAGCCCTTGGAGGAAAGACTGGCAGAAAACGGGGTGCAGCCGCAGAGAGACACCAGCCCACAACGCAC